CTATTATTTTTTTTTTACTTGTTTCTTTTTGGCTTGTTTCTTGTTTTTTGTTTTTTTTTTCTTTCCTTTTTCTTTTCTGTTGCTACTTTGTTTGTTTTTCTCTAGAGATTTTTTTCTTTTCAACTCAAAAATATCAAGGACTAGCAAGGAACGCCTGCTACAAGTGGAGGATGGTTACAATTCGGTCACTCAACACGTTGACATAGGTCCTTTGGTCACAAAAACCGTGCAACTGTTGCAACTGTACAAAATCTAAGTAGTACTAATTTGTACTAAAAGTGGACCTAAAGCAAGACGGTATTTAATGCTTCAATTGTATCAATTCATTTTGCGTACTTTGTTTTATTTTAGCGGGAGTTTTCAAACGTACAAGAAAAATCCCAAATGGTATCTAAGTAAGGAAAAACCTCTTATAACTTTATTAGCAATCTAAAAAACTAGATGTCGATTCACATCATAACGTTCTATTTCGAGCACCTTTGGTTTCTTGTCACACTTAGCGTTACGCTCGGCTCCCGCTCAATTAAGGTCTTCGATGCACTAAATGAGCGCGAGTTTTAAAATGTACAAGAAAAATCCCCAAAATAATATCTAAGTAAGGTAAAACCTCTCATAAATTTATTAGCAATCTAAAAAAAGATGTCGATTCATATTATAACGTTCTATTTCGAGCACCTTTGGTTTCTTGTCACAATTAGCGTTACGCTCGGCTCCCGCTCAATTAAGGTCTTCGATGCACTAAATGAGCGGGAGTTTTCAAACGTACGAGAAAAATCCCAAAAGTAGTATCTAAGTAAGGAAAAACCTTTTATAACTTTATTAGCAATCTAAAAAAGGATGTCGATTCATATTATAGCGTTCTATTTCGAGCACCTTTGGTTTCTTGTCACAATTAGCGTGACGCACGGCTCCCGCTCAATTTAAAGATTTTCTACAGTTGCACAGATTAAGTACGTTTACTTAATCTACTATTACATACAATTAGTCAGTAAATAAAAACTAGAGTACAAACACTAAAAGTGTGCAACACTACAAAATAGTGCTAATTAAACAATGGAAAACAATAGAATTAGCATAAWTTAGGGCAGTATTTAGTGGAATTTATGTTGCAGACTTTTAGTATTTGAGCTCTAATAGTTACTACTTCTTCGATCATGTTTCACAGTACAAGTCCGTTGACTCGATCGTTGAAGTGCGATTTACTAGATACAACTAAATAGCACTATTTAGTTTGTACAATAGCTCACTCAAGTGCGATCAATCTAGTATTTTTCTATAATTGACTACTGATACTAAAGTCCAAAACATTCAGATTGAATGTCAAGGATACAAGTCTCAAATTGTACTAGTAAAATTTTGACTCTCTAAAAAGGACTTACAAAAGTATACTAACAAAGTCTCTTCACAGCTTGTATTAGTGGCGGGCTCCCTGTCCCCTGAAAACGGCTGCTAACACAACCTTCCCACTGTTAACTTGGCTCAGTTGTTGCTTTCACGGCGGTATTTTTTCCCCCCTCGTAAATAAAAATACTATTTTTATTTACGAGGGGGGAAAAATATAAAAATGGCTTTAAAAATCAATCTTTATTCATAAAACTGTTTATACCAATCAAAGAAAAAAGAAAAGAAAGAGAAAGTCTTGAAAAGTCTCAAGAAATGATTAAAAAAAATTTACGGCTGTTGAGCCTGGGCCCCCTGTGGTACCAGAAGATTACATAATTCAATTCTTGGTTTCAGTTACGTCATCACAATTTTTATTTTACTCGAATTAAAAAATTACGTTAATGCCCTTTTACAGCATAAAAAACTACATAATTTGACAAAATATTTGGATTGTAGAGCGTTTGCTTGCAGAGTTATTATCAATCGAAGATTCACAAAATTTGGTAAAAATGTMTGGAGAAATCTGACCTCCACCTCGATTCAATGGCTTACAAAACAACAGAAATTTGAATTTTTKGACATATTTCGTGGTAATATTCTTGCATTCAATAAAATGTGCCTATACACCCTTTTAATAAGTCCCGAGGTATTGTTTTCTCCGCACTTGACGTCAAATTTATTCTTTTGAAATTTTTACAATACAAAAGGAATTGAAAAGAATAAATTTGACGTCAAGTGCGGAGAATGTAATACAACGGGACTTATTAAAAGGGTGTATACGAGGCAAAATGTTTTATGCACGTCGAATTGCAATGGCTTTTTATAGGTCGGTGATGGCGTTGCGTGAGTCTGTATTCAATCTTTACTATCTCGAGAACCAAACAATTGTTAACACTCATTTTTGTTCTTACATGTATATCTTTATTAATAAATACCCATATTAGAGATTTTTAAAATATCAAAATATTTTTGTGACGTGACATGAAACCCAAGAATAATCTAATCATATGAACAGAAAAAAAAAGCCTGATCCCAATAACACAACAACAAGAATTGTAAAAATGAAAGATGGTGATTTTATTACATGGAACAACATTAATGATGAAAATACTTACAATGCTCAAGGAATTTATAATAAAATGTGGTATCAAAATTAACTGGACATCATTGATGGTTAATCAATAAGTACAAAATATAACTTTTCAATTAAAGTACTTGTTTAGTAAGGTATGCAAGTTTTCTGACTTTACTTGGCCTTTGCCATCACATCAGAAAATTCCTCATAGTCCAAATCACTCAATTCATTTAATTGAAATTCTGGCTTATTGCCAAAGCACTTCCTGACATCATCCTTGGTAGAAGCGTAGATCATCCTTTTTTTGACAGGACAGTCGTTACTACACCTAAAAAGGTAATGAAGATAGATCAAGATAACAAATCAATGCTCATGTGTGGTTTTCCATGCCCCTACTTCATGCTAAAGAGTGATTTTTTCTTTCAAACTTGATACTGTTGTTTAAGTATTGAGGAAGAATCTTACAGTATTACATATTTATGAATTATCATTATCATTATTTCCAATGAATAAGCATGCCTCTCTTTTGAGACATTTAAAATTTAACAKCAACATAATATTTATTTAAATCAAGTTTGTTTGAAATTCCACGAATGYGAAAAAAATCTATATACAGTATGTACACATATGTGATCATTCATGCATACTGGAAATATCACAAAAATTCACGTTYATGTTCAAGCAAATTGATCTCATGGCTGGTTAGGTTTAGGGAAAATAAAGGTTTAGGCAATGGATAGTGCTGGTTTGAATTTTTTCAAACGTTTCTCTGACAAGTTTCTTCATTTTGAAATTGCTTTGTATATATAAATTTTGAAATAATCTTGCACTTACCAATACATAAATCCAAGTTTTCTATATTCCCGTCCTTCCTTTCCTTGAAAACCAAAATCATACAGGATATAACGAGGTTCATTGGTTTCAAGTACATTTTTCAGTTGCTCAAAATAAACTTTATCTTCTTCTTTGGTTTTTGTGGTAACCTTTGGTCCTAAATTTTCCTCATCCAAAACAACAAATTTCTGATCACTTGACAGCTTGAAAAAAGCATACTTGTGTGTTTTCTTGATGTTCATGGTATTGAAAAACTCTTTTAGTTCTGGGGCCATCTTGATTCCCGACATAGCCATGATCTGTGGAGAAGAGAAAAAGCCTTAGAAAAATTTGCTATTTCACTTCATTTCAAAGCAGACTTTGTATGACAAAAATTTATTTAATAAGAATATGTTTAGAGAAACATAATATAAGAAATGTGCAAAAATCATGGTGTCTTGATGTTTTCTTGAATTACTGCCATGCAAGGTTTTGTGTCCGTGCCTTCGCACAGTCATACGGAATCTGCTCTACTTCATGAGTAGTTACACAAAAAGACAAAGTCAACGTGTCATGCATACTAGGAACATAGCCTAAGTACCAGGCTCTCTCAAAGGGGATTGGGGTGGAACAAGAAGGGAGAGATCTTCTATCGAGAGCCGTGTTCTGCAGCCGTTTCATGGCTGAAATGCTGATTGGTCTAGAGGACAAAGGAAGTGACCAGTAGCTGTCCCTTTGCATCAAAGCCAGACGACCGTTTAGCATGCAATGATAGAAACCTTCTTTCACACCCACAGACAAWTATTTACAGGTTTCTATCATTGCACGCTCAAYGGTTGTCTCRCTTCTATGTAAAGGCACGGCTACCTTTCAAGATGGTGCAGGTAACCACGAAGGAGACTATTGTAATGATAAGCACACAAGCATAGTGTTAAGCATAGACACATGTAACAAACATATTATTTTGCTTATTTCAAGAGAAATATCACATTTGAAGCTTGTGTATATGCTTTTGTTGAGTGATAACACACTTTACGCTCATGCTAAGTGCATGCTTTAAGTCTCAATGAGACAAAAACTGAGTTGCTAAACAGATGCCTGACCAACAATGAACAACTAGTCATGACACTAAATAGCACCTCCCTTAAGCAGGTCGAGGACTACAAGTATCTTGGGTCACACATTTCCTCGTCTGGAAAAGACTTTTCCTCCAGGAAAGGTATGGCCTGGTCAGCTTGCAACAACATGCATAAAATCTGGACCTCTCAGCTTCCCACTCACCTAAAAGTAAAAATCTTCAGGGCAACCGTTGAGCCAATTCTACTCTATGGCTCYGAGACATGGACTCTCTCAAGGAAATTGAGATGAGACTTGATGGGACTTAAACCTGCCTACTAATGAGAGCACAGAATCTCTCTGGGAAAAGGCATCCCACTATCTCCTTAATCTATGGCAAGCTTCCCCGTGTCTCTGCATTTGTGCGATCTAGAAGAGTGCAGTTTGCCAGACACTGTTACCGTGCAGAGTCAGAGATAGTCTCATCACTTCTCCTATGGAAACCTGGCTCTGCTAGATCTCAGGGGATACAGGCATTAGAATTGAGGACCTAGGGACGGCAATGATGGACAGGGAGGTTTGGTGTAATGTTGTGAACTCCTCGACTGATGATGATGAAGTGCATGCTAATCAAGCTTGTCTAGCTCAAACCAGCCTTTACATTAAATTGAACTTAAGCAACAGTGCATAAGGTCTGGTTGTATAGCTATATATAGTTTTATAAAATTTTTGATATATAACGCACGCTCTGATTGGCTGACGACCGTGTTTATATCAGAGGACAGAGACACGGCTTACCGGCAAAATTTTATTTTCGCTCGGAAAATTTTATAAAAGAAATATAAAATGACCGCTTGTGTCTCTGTCCTCTGATATAAACACAGTGGGAGTTGAAAAACACTCGAGAAGCAAGAGAAACACTCGCTACGCTCGTATTCCTAAGCTTGCTTCTCTCGTGTTTTTCAAACTCCCACCGTGTTTATATCAGAGGACAGAGACACGCGCACCGTTTTATATTTCTTAAACATACAGCTGTTTGCAATAATTCTGACCCCCTCTGCCATATTTCATATATATCAAACTGACCTTTAATATTATGGGATATCATGACTGATATATTTTTTTGAGTTGTCCAGAATGAGTACTTTCTAAAAAAAATATCAGCATTGGTATCCCATAATTTCTAAGGCTGCTTTGATATATATGAATATTAGTGTAGGGGGGTCAGAATTATTGCAAACAGCTGTATATTATTCTTACAATCAAGTACTCAAATGTGATGTATTCGTATTTTCGTATTCGTTGAAATATCCATGGAGCGCATGGAAAAAAGTAGCTATCTACCAAATTTCAGTGTCCTAGTGCCATTTATAGCAGAGATACAAGCGATTTTATGGTTGGGTGACCACATAAAAACGCTTGTAAATTTGTTCTTGTCCAAACGAAAGGAACGCGTTACAAGCGTTTGTATGTGGTCACGCGACCATAAAATCGCTTGTATCTCGGCTATAAATGGCACTAAGACACTTATATTTAGCAAAGACGCATTATAAATGATGTACTCTATGAAACCGTGACACAAATTTCAGAGGGTTTTTTTTCCTGAYAGACCTTCTTTGTATCGTCGCTGTGTCACTCTTAAACTTTGACTATTACGCTTCAATTTTAATGAAAAGATTAAGCTGAAGTTCTGACCACTTCGGCGTGTAAACGTTGCATACTTAAAGATACAAAGAAATTCTTCCGCAATGAGGTCAAAAATTGTCTTCGCTATTTTGAGCCCTACCAATATATGAACAAAGGGAAATAATTTCCTGCCTTTATATTGCACAATGCACTGCATGACCGCAAATCAGGGAGTAAAAATAAAATATTAACTTCACAGGTCACTTATTCAGCTTATTATTTGACACTCGTCATCGACGCCATCCCGAAGGGAGACGAGAATTTTACAAACATATTATGCACAATCTCCTTGATATCGGCTAAACAAATACCTATTGAGACTAATAGCGTGAATAAATTATTGATAAAGCTTTTCAAGTAAAGACTCGCTTTGCACACAGGTAGCTGGTGGTAAGTGGTGTGCATCGGATCGTGTCCAAGCTCATTTCATTCCGTAGCATTTCAACTCAATAGCTAGTTCAAAATTAAAATAAATCATAGAACTAGAAAAAAAAACATAGTATACATTCAACGGAGTTTAACTTACGATGCAGTTAGGTCAAACACKCCACGATAAACCCAATATATAGAACGAGGAAACACACTCCCAAGAGATTCGCAACTGATGAGGAAAGGACCAAGAAACCAAATACCTTGTATTTGAAGGTGTGGCTTACTAGCTATATACCACGTGATAGATGACTCATATCTGAACTGGGGGTAAGCCGAAGGGGATCTTCTTTAACAAGGCGCGTAAACTCTACAAAAATCAAACACACTTTATAAAAACTCATAAAGCATAATATGAGAATGATAACTGTGGTTTTGAAAGGAATTGCTATTAAATTTTAAGCAATATCATAGCGAAAAAAGCGGTTTTTTATTTTGAAGATTTGCCCTCCCCCCTTGGGTATTCATTGTCTTCGTTTGGCGGCTGTTTCAYATCGTGAACTAACATCGCCTTATTTGGTCAGAGAATGTCCTCTTCGCGTCTGTGCTTGGTCAATTATTAACACTTTTGAGGAACGAAAACAGGATATCCGACAAAACGCACCTCTCTTTTGCTTTTACAATGTATTTGTATTGTTTACAGTTTTACAGTTCACTTCGTGATGAAAAAAAAGAAATAATATTTTTAGGATGAAAAAAATTCCAGTAAAGAGTCAAAAAGGTCATATACTTTAAAATACAACAACTGAAACCTGAGCTGAAATGTTTTGTCTTTTGTCTCTTTTGTGAACGCGTTCGATATTTGGGATCCCTATGKGTGGGTACTGCTCATTCCTTCTCGGCCAAAAGCAAAACAAAGATGGCGGACAATCGCTCAGAAAGAGCAGATTTCGACATTTTAACTCGAAAACCTACATTCCTTTGAAGMTAAAGTTGCCTAATTTCAATGGCGAATGAAAACATAGGTAAGAAMTTTCAAGAAAACACAAAATATTGTATAAAATTTGCTTATGTTGTTAATCTTTTTGCCCTGAAAAGCGAGCGAAGCACTGCACGTGTTTACGAGAACGTGCTCACACTTTAGCAGTTTATAAGAAATCTAGGATTTATGACGAGATTTGGCTACAAAAGAGGAGCACATATAGTTTAGTGCAGGTTYGAAGTATGCAAATAATACATAAACGTTGTAAACATTGTCGCAACGCTACAATAACAAAAACTAGGCGCTCTTAGAGCGTTTACACGGGCTGTAGTACAGAGCAGTCACGTAATAATAAACATTTTCGCGRTTAAAACCAAAGCGGTCAACACGTTTGCTGCAGCCCTCAAATGAACAAGAGTTCCAAGTTTATATCTTATATCAAAATAATGACTTTTTCACTATCAAAAATGATGCTACCTTTCTATATGTCAGGTGTTTTTCGAAAGTTAAACAACCATTCAATACCATGGCATGAAAAGATCAAAGTGGCACAGCGTGCATGGGATAGTGATCAATGTATTATTCCAAACAAGCAGCAAGTGTTACTTGACTGGGTTTTGCAACAGTTGGTTGACATTTATAAGAAAAACAAAAGGTAGGATTWTATAGATGCACCATGAAATTTGGGTAGTACAAAATGAAGAAGTRCTTRATTGTGTTTCCTARTGTCTGATAAACACTGYATGATTGTATTTRGTAGTAACAGTCTCCTTCRCAGTTCTCCGTGCCATCTTGAAARGCAGACRTGCAAGAAAGCAGAGGGASCTATGAAGGAGACTATTGGTACTATATTTGTTTGCACATCCACTATGTTTTCATGGYAAAAAGTATTTATTTCAAGGAAAAGATAATGGAGGGGTAACAYGAGCATTTTGTTATTATTTGCAGTAAAGATGCTATAAAAGATCTTTGGGAGTACCTTGTCCATATTCTGTCAAGTTTAGATTCTAAAACCGATCATAAAAAGACAWCATTTGCATTGATGCCYCAAATTTTGCAGGTAAATTCAACAGTYATTTTAATTACATTTTGTTAATTGATCAAAAATGTTTTTAGTTTGAAAGAATCATATTAAATGATTTCATACTTGGATGGCCTATTTTTTTATTTTTTTTATGAATGGCTCTATGCTTCTGTATAATGTCATTTCAACCTTTTAAAAAACCCAATTTTCACTTGTTGCTTTGCAGGTTTTCATTGAAGTGTTTACATCTACTGATTTTGAAACAAGTGATGTCAGTTTGAAAGTTCTTCATTGTGGTCAGATAATCCTATCTAACCCTGAACTAAATTTGACCTTGTTAGCAAAATTTGAAAATTATGTAAGTTTACTAARAAAAGTTGATTGCTTTTATGTTTTATAATATATACATGTGTATTTTATAATTAATATAATATATACATGTGTATTTTATAATTTAACTATTCTGCCTATTGTTATTCAATCAAGTGCATCCTCTCAGAAAATAACATGCAATGAACACAATAATTATACAATTTCCACAAAATACCACACATACCAAAATCAGAGAGCTTGTAGTAATTTAAATGAATCTACTGTACTTTTTATTGGGCATAACARAAAGAAGTGGCAGATGAATTAGCAGTCACAATAAAGCTAATTTAGTCAAACAATTCAAAGCATYATGTAGCTTAAAAATGTCCATTTTCACAATAATTTGACCTGGATATCATTGTCCATTGCATAGCATATTAATCAGTGTTTTTCTTTGTCAGCTATTGTATTTATCATCTCTGCTAAAAACCTTTTCAACCTTAAATGGAGACAAAATTACTAATAAAGCAATCCACAAAGAAGCTTTTTGCCTCCTTGAAATCTCACTAAACCTGTACATTCCTCTACAAAGAAGACAGACTAATCATAAAAAGGTACATTTGTACATCCATGGTCATATTTCTTTCATTCATCATTGGTTGTTTCTGAGTTTGCCACTTGAGACATTGTTTCTCTCAACAGCTTTTTGAAAAAGCTTGTCAGCATCTCCTAGTGCCTATAGTTTCTGTGTGGAASTGTTTGATGGGAAGTGAGCAAACAGAAGACAGAATCAATGGATTTGTGAATCTTCTGCAACAGGCATTGTCAGATGCTATATTTAGAAAGTAAGAACTATGATAAAGAATTGCTAGTTATAACCATATTTCAATATGAAATATTTGCATAGGGATAAAGGGAAGATAAAAGGACATTGAAAAGAAGGGTTCTCTTGAAGGAGTTACCAACTTGGTTGAAGTTCAATGAATACAATAGAATGTTCAGCTGATATGCCGTCATTAAGTGATACAATATTTGTATTGTATTTGTAGTGTATTTTTATTTTAGAGTAATACAATATTTATTTCATATGACAGAGAGCATCTATCAGAATATGCTTCATCACTGAAAGCCTTGAACATACAACAGTCTAGCAAYGATGCCGATTGCCAAGAACCAAAGCCTAAGAAAGCGAAAATTGGAAATTACACAAAAGAACTTTTTGAGACACTGAGAAATCAATGCTCACAAGTAAATACAGTATGTTGAAGTTATACTAAATGTATCCTGTGAATAACTGTTTATGAAAATCTTTGAAAAACTCTTTACTTAAACGAACACTACATGTATCACAGGATGACATGTAAAATTTAAACCTCTCCTTAGCCCTAAACTTCAAATTGTTGGAAATTTTTAAGTCTGGATTTTGGCAAGTCTTTTAAATTTGTATGTTTTTGAGTCAAAATTGTTTTCTTCCTCACTCTGCATTGGTTTGCTGTGAAAAATGACATTTCCTTTTATGACTGGGTTTGTTATGTCCTGCAGGTTAAAGATGACAATGACAAAAACATCATGAACTTCATTCCTCAATTGTTTATTGAATTCCTGAAATCTAGAAGGTATAAAACATTTTTATGTATTAGATATTTTGATTATTATTATATATGAACATCATGTTGTTGTTTGTTTCTTTGTTAGATGCAATAACCTCAGCTCTTCGTCGCTTGAATTTGAATTCTTCACAGAGATGTGCTCCCTTTTGGGTGTTARGYTCAGTGAGGAAGAAGAKTCTCCTTTGTTATCTTACCGTGTTATTGGACTTGTCTACACATTGCTAAACACACTGCTTTCATATGATGTATATCAGGTATTGTCTGAAAAACTATGATCTCTMTAATCATCCCTTCGAAATGTCAGAACAATTTGCTGGTCCATTGCCAAAGTCTTTGCAATCTTTGTACTTTGTAAGAAATGTTTTAAGTCCAAYAATGAGGACTGGACAGGATTTCAAGTCCACGCAATTAGTTGGTTTCCAGTTACTGCACGTGGTACAAATTACAATCAGGGATTGGCTGGATACCTCATGAATAATTAATGAGTATGAGAAGTGATATTCATATGAAATCACAAATAMAGCATTGAGAGGAGGTGTCAAGTACAGTGARCATAAAAGGAAAKAATTGTGCATTTTGTTCTGATGACTGCGAGTTCAATACTTTGCTCAGAGTCAMCRAACTTGAGTATGGAAAGTCATGAATTGTGCAAAATGTTGTTCTTTTGCATTGCGCTCTGTGACTGATGATCRCTATTTTCAATTGTTTGTTTTCAAAGGTAGCAGAAGACAATTCTAATGGTGAAATACAGTTCAACTGGTTTACTGGTTTTATTACAATATTGCTTAAAATGCAGTCAAGGTAATCTAGAAATTATCACATAATAATAAGTAAAAATAAATTTAAGGTAATTATTGAGATTTGTATTTTATCTTTCCAAACCTTTCCTTGTAAAATACAATGGRGTACAAGGACATATTAAAATAAAAATATTCAGTGTAGTTTGTTTTTCTGTTACAGCAATGAAGTGTTTGAGTGTCTTCAAGTTCTTCTTCAACTAAACCATTATATCATTGAACCATATTTAACTACTGTTCTGCAAATCAGCTGGAGAAATGACTGTCAGGTGAGATTACCTACCATTATATTCTAATTATAAGAACAGAATGAATGCAATATGTACATGAAAGATGGCTAAGAAATAGCTGAAATAGCTAAGAAATTACTGCAGTATTTTCATCTTAGTCAGTTACGTCATTACAACACACTGTACAAAAGTGTGGCCACTGGTAATGTATACTTTTGCCTTGTTTTTCACTCAATGACAGTTGTACATGTAGGATATGATATCTTGTCTGAGATCAAGGAAATAACTGCAACTTTTACAACTTTTGCACATTGCGCTGTGACAGTTATAACTGTGTTCTTACATGTACAAATGACTGAGTGTTATACAGTGCCTTGTGTTTTACATCTCTTTAAGGAAGGAAAAGATGCTTCAGCAAGTGATTTGTTCCTGTCTGCTTTAGTGAAGACTTACACCAAACTTCGCCAGGTGAGATACATGTATTTTACAGTACTAGAAGACACCTTGTGTATAAACAAAATCATTCAATTATAATAAGTTTTAAGTTCAAAAAACACTCTTAAGTTTTTGTGCTTTGACAAGGTACTTGCACACAAAAACTCCTCTTCTTCATTGAATATAGTTATTACACTCATTATATTGTTGAGTGAAACATGACATGATTACTATCTCTTAGTTTGATAAGTTTGTTGGTCAGCTGCTTAAATCACTACCTGGTGCAGCAGACATCACAACTAAATGGACTGGGCTTCCAAAGCACTTCCAATATGAGTAAGTATTGCCAATCAATCATTTCATTGTAATTCACAAGATGAAAGGATTCAGGAGGATTTACACACTGTATGATTGTCATTGTACWACTTAAAAGAGCTCCAAGTCTTGCCATGCCATGCCTTTATGACTAGCCCATGGCTGACGCATGTGACTCACAGAGCTTGTTTACAGCTCTCAGTCTAAAATCAAAATCCTACCACTCATCTTATGCTATATATTCTAGGCAATTGTCATATTCGTTCATTTACTCATTCATTTATTTATCCCATTTCATATTATAGAATGGTGAAAGCATGCCAAGTTCTTCCTTATGGACTAGCTACAACATTATGGAAACTATTCAATCAAGAAATCATTGACAACTACTTGYCCACTTTACAAATAYTGTCCCAAAGCAARGGAAAAGCCAACAACCAGGAAAAAGAGAAAGTATTCTGCTTTGAGAGAGTTGTTGGACTTTACCAAACATTTTTAGAGAACACAGCTCTTGGTAGAGTTGCAGAACAACACAAAACTGAGGCTATTGTTACAAACKTGACAAATTTGTGTCAAGACATGGTTGATAATGTAATTGGACCTGCTTTTGAAGTCCTCCCACACGTTGCAGATAACAAGGTAGAGTATTTTACTTTAAATTTGAATTTGATGATTATGATAGCTTTTGCTGTTTGTCATGCAATCCATGGGACCAGCGGCCATATTTCAGTACATTGTACATGTACATGTGCAAGCAATAGAAACTAATGATAATTATTGATAATTTAAWATTATATTATAACAGCTCCATAAATCAGTATCAACCTCCGTTCTGGTCCTGTACCACACACTGCAAGAAATGAATACTTATCTTGGGAAATTTGGTCTGATATCTCATGATGAACATTGTAAAATAGCAACAGATCAGTGGAATAAGTACTTGTTGACACATTTCAATCACAAACAGAAAAGAAAAGGAAAGGAAAAGCTCATTTTCGTTAAGGTAAAATGGAATTGTATGTTGAATGAAAGAATCATGAAAGAGAAAGAAAGCTACAGTAGATCAAATAAAATTATCTGACATTGATTTCTGGACTGGACAACAATCAAGTATTAGTCTTAGATTATTCCAAAATGTCCAAAAAATAGTCTTTACTCTAACCATACCAGTCTCAATTTTTTTCTTTTCATTTAATGATTTTCTAGGTTTTAATTGCTATTCAAAGASTACGTAGTTATATGAGAAGTGTTGTTTCGCCAGTTGAGGAGAAGGAAACTCAAAAACTGGTTGATTTTCTGTTTCATTGGCTTGAAGACTCTTTTCATTGGACTAATGATTCCGCATGGAATTTACAGGTACAAGTAAAGACATTCTCTCAATGTTAAGACAGATTTTTCCTAAATCTAAACTCTTTGCTTAGCTACCATCTTATTTTGTTTGTTAATCCATTGGCATTGACATTTTATAATCTTCTCATTTTGCTTGATAATGATGTCAAGAGGAAACTGAAACAWTACACTTATCTCCATACATTGCTGTACCCAAAATCTACTCTTCCTCCCTTTCTATCATTTCTTCCCATTCCTAGTTCCATTCATTTATAAATTACAAATTGTATTCCTCCATTTCTCAGTTATGGTCCATAAACACTACGACATTTGATGCTGCGTATTGGTTTACACTTTGCAGCTTTGCACCAATTTTACTTACGATTTGTACTGACAAACAACAACAACAGTTTACATACTATCTCATCAAGACACTTTTGCATCAAAACGTGGACAGTRTCAGAAACCATGGAAGGTATGCAACAAAGCTGAAAACAAAATAAACAAATCAATMATATTAAATAATTATACATGTACTGGTGCATTCCAAAAGGATCTATTTTAGTACTCTATGTGTACTTATAAAGATTAAGATCTCCTTCCAGTTCCCTGGGCCATCTTTAATAGACCTTTTCTGAGATACGAAATCATAGTGCATTGTGGTCTAGTTTCAGTACAAACAACACCATATTTGGCCACATGAACAAAAGATGTTTGTACCGAATCTAGACCACAATGCAAAGCGTCATGCTATTTCAGAAAAGGCCTATGATAACAGTACCTTTGTGTTAAGTTGACATAAGCAGTGAATTTGCAGTGACAGACAACTGTCAATCATTGTCTGTAGGTGTGATAAAAGATATGATTGCATTAGCCATCTTGGTTTGATGCAAAGACATGACTTTGAAGTTGGTACTTGGAATTGAGAAGGAGACTAGTACACTTTTCTTTTAATCTTCATGCAATTCAGGTTTTCATTGTTTTTAAAATTCAATGACTTTTTTTTTGCTTTGTTTTATTTGAACAGTGACGTCACATTACAATTGTCATCAAGAATGCTTGTCTTCAGTGCTAGTTTTCATCAAATCCCTTCGATGCAGCAATGCTTTATTGCCACTTTGTGGGCTGAAATTTCAAAGCTTCTTAGGTACATTATTTTATAATAAATCCCTTCAATGCAGCAATGCTTTATTGCCACTTTGTGGGCCGAAATTTCAAAGCTTCTTAGGTACATTTATAATGTTTAATATGAATAAATAGGAATGATATAGGATAATGGATTGAATGAATTATTTGTTGAATGACTGAAAGATTGAGTAAATGAAAATTGAAGAATGATTCGGTAAATGAGCAAATGGGTGGATGAACAAATGAATGGAAAGATTGATTATTGAATGAGCAAATGACTGCCACTGAATTAACGGCATTAAAAATGAAAAGTGAATGGAATAACCAAATGAATAAACATATGAACAACTCAATGATTTCTWAAGGAAATTTGTGATTATTTGAAAAATAACTCTTTAATCAAACTTATTTCCAGTGAATCCTCTTCAGAAATTCATAAAAAGTTATGTAAAATAATGATGTCAGCTGGAATGGCAGAAAATCAGAGTGACAACGCTGTTGATGCTAGTGAAGACAGCAATGAAAGCAGCAGCGAAGATGAAAGTTGTAAGTTTATTATCCATGCATTTTGTTACACCGGATAGAGTTGTTAGTCACTTTTAAAATATTGGACAATATTATCAACAAAATATAAGAAAAGTTGAAGTAAATACATCAGGTAAACATTGTCTTAAATGATTCATTTTCTTCAGCATCAGATGAAGAAAGCCAAGAACAGATTRCCATCCAGAARGCAGATAACATTCCATGTACAGTGTTGCCTCTAGTTCCAACTGGAAAAGTCCTGATTGATATTTTAGAAAGCTTGTGTTCTGGTGAACATCTTGATGAATTAGATAGTGAAACAGCAAGCAAAATTAGCGAGCACATCACTGTAAGTTGAGATTTATTGTTTATCTATTTTAATTATTTACTCTATTATACAACTTTATGTAATATATACAATACAATATGAGCGGGCGATCTGTATGAAGATTTAAAACAGCGAGCTGAAAGCGAGCTGTTTTAAACCTCATACAGATCGCACACGAATATTGTATATTACTTATGAAACATTGAGGTAAACTAGCTCAGGTTTTAAAGAAACTTTTGAAAAAAAATCAATCTGACCGAGAAAATCAGAGTTAAAGTTTATGCATATGAACAAGAAATCTGTATGTAATATACAACTCTCTTCATGGGCTATGATTTCTATTGTGTTTTGCCTTATTGCCTTATATTAATGAGTTTTATAAGATACTTCAAATAATGACAATGAATGCAGTGTGATAATTATATTGATATTATTTGTTTTATTTCAGCTTCTAACATTTCTTCCCCTTGATTGGTTAAGTGATTGTGACCATGTGGGGTGTTTCATTGCACTGCTAGCTTGTGATGCTTTAAGCTGTGGTATACAGAACAGGGTCAGTATGAAGCAAGCTACTAGAATACTGTCAGCAGACATATAATGTACTTGTTTGTGCGTGTATGTGTGTTTTACATGTAGCTTCAACTTTGTCTTTGTCTTGTTGTTTTGTTGCTGTGGTTTTTTGTCATCGCATCTTCTTGTTCTTCTTCATCTTCTTCTTCTTCTTTTTCTTCTTCTTCTTCTTCTTTTTTCTTCTTCTTTGTCTTTCTCTAGTTGTTGTTTTTGTTGTCATTGTTTTTCATCATCATCTGCTTCTTTTTCTTCTTCTTGTCGTAATTTTTGTTATTCTTATTCATCATCTTCTTCTTCTTCCTYTTCTCTGATCATTGCATTGTCATGTTTTGATTCATAATAATTATTCATAATGTTATTGTCCAAAMACAATGTTGAAGACAATAAACATGTTATACATGTAGCAATTTATTTTGTTTTCAATTACTCAGGAGTTGAATGAAGAGTCTCTCAGAGTATCATTTGTGAGCAAACGTTTGCTGACTGTTTTCCTTCAAGGCTGCATTTCTAGGAAGAGATACCTGATACACCATGTGGTTGACATTGACTCTCTTCATTTTTGGATACTAATGTCTTGTTTGAGGCTTAAAAGTACTAAGGTGAGACTTCTTCTGTGTATCACAGTGTAGTGTATCAGGTGTATCAGTGTATCTGTGTATCAGGCAATACTGCAGTTCTATTGCTTGTTTGTGGTGCAACAGTTTATTGTTATAATTACAATGGCAATCATTTCAGGTCAGTAGTCTGAGCGAAAAACTGCACAACATATCAATAGACATGCTTATGGTCCTCATGACGTTTGCTCTAAAGATTGGCAAACCACTCGCACTGATTGATGGTTTCATTCAAAAGGTAAATTTTTCTGTTGTTTTGTTTCCTCTTTTCTCATTTTTGTCATTCCTTCCCTTCTGTCCATTCTACCTGGTGGTTTATGTGCTTGCCATTGTTTGCACCCAGCGTTTTTCTGAATTTGTATTTTTCTTTTTAGCTTGTCTTAAATCTGGAATCATTGACAACAAAAATCAGAGACCAATCTAAGAAATCCATCCATAAAGCCTTGAAAAGGGATCATTCTCTTCTAGAAGTGGCTGGTGCTGTGATGAATGTCTTAGAAAAGGTAAACAAACATTAGTATAAACATATTAATGGTCTATCACTCATACTGCGCCGTGATTGGCTACTCTACTAATGGTCTAATTTGTGATAGACCACTCACAGGAAAATCAATCTCATGAATAAATTATTTTAAGGATATTTCAATTTGTTTTCATTATTTGAACGATTAGTATGTATATACTAAAACAATTAGATCTCTCAGCCTCATGGACTACAAGCTTATAGTCTATTTGGCCTCACGGACTCGGCCTCATGGGCTATTAGCTCGTAGTCCACTCGACATCGAGGTCTAATTGTTAATAAGTTTGACAACTAATTAAAAAGTGAAATTATATAGTTATTCTTGATGTATTTCAAACACTTAAAGTGTAAATGAAGTCTAGTTTTTTTCAAAAGTTGAGGAAACAACCATGGAAGAAATATAATGTTTTTTGTTACCTTCAGGGAAATCCATTGAAAGCTCAATTTTTGTGTGAAACATTTAAGTTTTGATAATTCCAGAATGGCCATGTRCTATCATAGATTCTTAAAGAATCAAGTGCATTTGCATTTTAACTAGCCTGATTCAGACAGRAATGCWGGGTAAAGTGCTAGCRTCAKWCCCAGGACTGTCTRAAAATGAGGGTAACTTTTAAAACATGCAACATAAATTATAGTACAAAATAAAAAGAATCTCTCTTTTACTTGATCAGGTGATCTCTTGCAAGACTTCACGTCTGAATGAGATCAAAATGRCAGTCCATGTTTTCTCCAAGTGTGCTCCACCAATTCTCAACCTACTTCAAACCATGACAGCTGAAAACCGYAGTAAAAAGAGCCYTCTAGGAAATGATGYTAAAKCAAGCGTTGTTTTAGAAGATAATCATGTACTTATTGATATTTACACCGCTGTTTTGCATRTATACAGCATCTCACAAACATCAAGGTATGGTCATSRMACGATTGCATGTTAACCTACCTCATGAASCAGCTGCTCAAGRACTCATAGCTGTAGMGAAGAAWTTTTTCCTTTTACTTGGACAAAGGCCTCTAGCTTATTAACCTTGCTTTTAAAAAAATTGCATTCWGTACATGAATATTATGAAAGGATATTACATGTATTTTAAACTGTTTCCTTTCTCTTCCTTAGAAAGTTTTCTCGGTCAAAAGAWGAATTTCAAGTGTTGCCATGGAGACCTCTTTTAGATTGGATTCTTTCCTTTGCCACTGATTCTATCATTCAACCAAAAAAGACATCAACGGACAGTAGTAGTAATGAAGAAGAGGTACTTAATTTCTTTATCATGAATATATTCTTGTATGTTGATATGATGATTCAGTGGTTTGGTGAAAAGATGGACAGACGAATATTTCATGTGAGCATTGAATTTTCACTTGAGTAAATGGAAGGGAAGTTACTTGGATGAATAAATGAACCACTGGATACTGGGAATGGGAATTGGGATGAATGAATAAACTAGGTCATTTTTGAAAGAGTACAGCATTTAAATGGATGGAAAATSTGATGGATAGATGGATGGGMTAAAAAGAAATGAAAAATGAGATGAGATAAATAGATGGATGTCAAAATGGATAAAAAAAAACATTTCTAATACTTGACCATGTACTAGATGAATTTAACTCCACTTGCTTATAAAAATATTTCTCATTTTTAGCAGCATTTATTGATTCTCCCRTCAATGAAGTCTTCCCTCCACTTTCTCAACATCATCATGTCATCTCTGGACACTCTTCAAGTTGACGTTAATGTTGGATTCCACAAGAATTTGTTGGACWCAGTTTTAAACTTGCTGCATCATCTTGACATTAATGATGTTGATWTGAACAAAACAGCCTTGAATGTCATCCTTTCAATGCTTCAAGGATGTTCATCTGACATGGCAGTCAATCTTCTTAAAGAACTCAGTAATGTACTTGTAAGTTTTAGTCTATCCTGTTTTTTTTAAGAATGTTTCTCCACACTACAGTTGAGTTAATTTCTTGGATAATATTATTCTAAAATTTTGTTTTAATTTGTAGGCATTGCATTCAAAGTCAYCAAAACAGCTAYGGTCTTGTTTGCAAGTATGGTTGWCTCTTCTGGCAGGGAAATTCTTAAAWGTTCGAAAGAGAGAACTTCGCTCAGTGCTKCCYCAGGTTTGCTACTTATTATTTAAACATTGTAAAAAAAAACTGCATTTCAACATCAAAATAACAGAATATATCAACCTCTATTTCTGAATCGAATCAGAACCAAATCTCAGCGAAATACGAAGTCTTGTTTTAATGTTTTTTAAGGAAATTATCTATTGTTTTTTGATTTATAATGACAAGTTCTTTTATTACGTGTACAATAGGTATTGATGGCACTACAGTCCATTGCACATCAACCAACAAACTTTGATCTAAAAATCCTGAGTCTGGAACTCATGACAAGRATWTTGTCCCTTGGACCGGTATGTTTGTTAATAATKTAACYGAATCTAAAGGCTCTGTTACACTGTGCAATTTTGTCGGAAACTTGCTGCACCATTGTGACACACGTTGCTCAGAAAATTATGTGTAGGTGTGCTACCCTGTTCARTTTTCCTTTAGGAACTTGMAATATAAACAAGGCAAGCTGGGAATATRTGACAGAYWTTCTAAATGAGAAATTACGCATGCGCTAAAAGCACAAGTCACTCGAAAATTATGAGGAAAGTTGCTAGAGGGGCGATTGTTGCAATGTGTTGCAAATAGTAGAGCTGTGTTCTACTTTGTTTGACTCTACGCACAACAAAAAAGTGGCAATACAATGTGCCATAGCATTGCAAGTTCTTACWATGTGTTGCAAAAAGAAGACCTGAGATTTTGTGCAACACTACATGCAACAAAAATTCTTACACAACCCCAGTTACACATCTACACTGTATTCTTCCAGCAAGATACATGCAAGTCACTGAGAAGATTGCACAGTGTAATTTGGCATTAAGAGATTGCATGATTGAGGTTAAGGTGGCTTCCTACAGTTGTTGTATATTGACAAATGATGTGATTTTTGCATATTACTCCAAATCGAACAGATGAATTTGTTTTTAACTATTCCAAAACGTTATGCAATAGTTTGAAGTTAATGATGATGTCTACCACTTTTCTGGATCTCATCAATTTTTTGAGATATTTGGCAAAAATGCATTTCGACAAAAGGCAAATTYCATTGCCTAGTTAACGTTAATAGAGCTAAATATTATGCCAAACAAAACTTTGGGCAATGTTTTAATACTAGTCCAAACACGAAACAAATTGGTGCATAGACTCTCAAAAATCAAATTTAAAATGAGGAAGCCACCTTTTAAAAATGACAAGCCTCATGGCCAGCAACAAAATCTGTTATATTAATGCTTGTATATTGTAATTCTGATTTTAAATGCTCGTTACTTGATTTCTGGATGTCTGCTTTTAATTTACCAATTGATTCATTTCTATTTGGCAGAATATGTTGTACCCACATCATAGCAGCCTTGTTTTTCATGGAAGTCTTCTTGTACAATTGGACCACAACAGCAATAGGTAAATCACTTCTTTACTTAAAGGATTCAGTCTTTAGTTATTGTTTATTGTTTTTTTTTTTATCAAGAGAAAATTATGTGCGTTCCTGTTTCATTCATGTTTTTTTTTTTTCTTGTTTTCTAGGTTTCCTGATTTGTTTTGTGCTCAGTTTTCTCTTCTCAGCACAGCTTTGTTTCATCACAATGAAGCCGTATTTAAAACAATGCATGTCTTCATGGCATGTGTAACAAGTATCTTTTTGTTGTATTTCCTTTTTATTTGTGCTTGCTTGCTTGCTTGCTTGCTTGCTTGCTTGCTTGCTTGCTTGCTTAATTGCTTGCTTAATTGCTTCATTAATTGATTGATTGCTTAATTGCTTCATCGATTGATTGATTGATTGTTTGTTTGACAGGGTAACTGGTTGGTTGTTGGTTGTCTGAATACTTTTGAAATAGATATATTCAAATGTCATTTATCTTAACATATACCGTAGATATGCTAAATAGTCTGTGTCATTACTGCAGTATCAAAATAGTTCGTAAAACTAAAAAGAGAAACCAGGAAACACAAACAAAGTGTGCAGACAAAATGTCCAGGTTTGTCCACAATTATATTGAAACAAATGTTTCTTGTCATTTGTCTTTATATTACAGATCCCTGTCTCGTGTTATAATGTAACTTCATCATTGATTKATTCATAATACTCTTTGATTTAAGATTGTATCAAGAAATTTCAAGTCACAAAGCAACAATATCCAAGGTGAGGATCCTATTCATTTTACTGAATTAAAGGTGTTTGAAGATTGATTCTCCTTTGACATAAAACAAATCTATCACAGTGGTATCTATTTCATATTTATTGCAAAAAACTTGAAAATTGTAGAGTAAACTAACCTATGTTGCTGATGGTCAGTGGTTATGGGATTRCAAAAGTTGAATTTTGTGCTGGTCCTAAAAGTGTACACAGGCTGAGACACAGGCTCACAGTACAACATCAGAGTTATTTTACATTTCTTTCCTAAATTGTCCTTTCAGTATATCCCTTACATGATTACTGAATACATTCAACAAATACAAGAACATCAACTACAAGAACAAGTTAAGGTACAACATCAGCATTTTCTATTTTTACAAAAGAAAGTGTGAAAAGTATTTTCTGGTAGTTCAGGATGCCATCATGTGATTGACCCTCCACCCCTCCATTTTATATAAACAACTACTCCCCCTCCCCCTCTACTCCTCCCCCTTCTTCTCCTCCACCTCCCCCCTCCCTCTCCCTCTCCCCCACCCTCTTATCCTCATCTCCCGTACCCCTTCACCTTATCCTCCTCCCCTACCCTCTTCCCCATTATCCTCCTCCACCTCCCTCTCCCTCACTCCCACCCCCTTCGCTCTTATCCTCATCTCCCGTACCCCTCCCCTTATCTCCTTCTCCTCCCCTCTTCCCCCTTATCCTACTCCACCTCCCTCACCCCCACCCCCTTCGCTCTTATCCTCCTCCCCTTCCTCTTTTTTTTCTTTTATTGTGACCCTCTTTGTTTTTTGTGACCTTCTTTTCTTTTTCATTTCAGAAACTATTGGAGGCAGGAATTTATTGTTTGATTGATGCAAGCGGTGAACATGAAATAGCTCTTCTTCACGCAACACTAGACAGAGGATCACGTGAATTATTCACAACATTGATCAATGAATATAATAAATTTTATAAATTTAAAGGAAAAGTTTGAATTAAAACAAATAATAATCTATACCTGTTTTCTTGTCCGTGTTTCTTTTTTCTCTTTTTGCTTTTTTCACAGTATAAATTATAATTTCCAAATCATGTCGCACACGCAAAAAAATGGTCGGCTATAGCCCACCAAAATGACCAAAAATGGTCGATTTTTGACCAAAATGCATGTGCTATAGCGCAATAAAAACGCCAAAAATGGGCCATTTTTGAACAAAATGCATGGGCTATGGCCCACCAAAAGCGTCAAAAATGGACCGTTTTTGATCAAAATGCATGGGCTATAGCCCACCAAAATTGCCAAAAATGAACCATTTTTGATCAAAATACATGGGCTATAGCCCACCAAAAACGCAAAAAATGGTCGATTTTTGATCAAAAAGCATGAGGTATAGCCCACCAAAAACGCCAAAATGGTCGATTTTTGATCAAAATGCATGGGCTATAGCCAACCAAAAACGCCAAAAATTGGTCATTTTTGAACAAAATGCATGGGCTATAGCCCACCAAAAACGCCAAAAATGGGCAATTTTTGAACAAAATGCATGGGCTATAGCCCACCAAAAACGCCAAAAATTGGTCATTTTTGAACAAAATGCATGAGCTATAGCCCACCAAAAACGCCAAAAATGGACCATTTTTGACCAAAATGCATGGGCTATAGCCCACCAAAAACGCCAAAAATGGACCATTTTTGATCAAAATGCATGGGCTATAGCCCACCAAAAACGCCAAAAATGGACCATTTTTGATCAAAATGCATGGGCTATAGCCCACCAAAAACGCCAAAAATGGACCATTTTTGATCAAAATGCATGGTCTATAGCCCACCAAAAACGACAAAAATGGTCCATTTTTGAACAAGATGCATGGACTATAGACCACCAAAAAAACCAAAAATGGACCATTTTTGATCAAAATGCATGGGCTATAGCCCACCAAAAACGCCAAAAATGGACCATTTTTGATCAAAATGCATGGGCTATAGCCCACCAAAAACGCCAAAAATGG